AGGAGTAAGACCAAGGATTAAAACACGTTTTACTCAGTTCCCCAAGAAAGCACGGTTCCACTGAGCTACCACTGTTCAAAAAACTTTGCTAAAAAATTGTTAAAATAAGTAACATTATATATTTCACATACACAAGAAAAGGCATAGTTTATTTAAAAATAAGGGAATTTATTATTTAACAATAATAAGTAAGTACACTATCAGAGACACTCTCAAGTTGCCACTTAACAGTTCTCGATATACGGTTCTTGACCACAGAAATCCATTGCGGTTTGAAGCGAAGGCCCACAGCTATGCAGACAGACTGGCTTGGCAGTCTTATAAAAAGCTCTAAAGCCTTAAATCTTAAGCTTTAAAGCTCAAGTTGTACCAATCTTAATTGAATCTCGGTAAAAGATGGATGTTCTTTAGGAAATTTCAGCAGACGCCACTCTTATTGGGTATAGGATACGGTCTGATTTTGTTTGGCTTTGGTAAAAGTTATTTTGTTGGGTATTTATAGCGTGTATTAAATGAATGTTAAGTGGCTATCGCTCATTCGGTGTGCACTAGCTGTCGCTTTCGACTTTTCTTAGTTTAACTAAAATATAAGGATTAATTTGCAAATATGTTAAATGGTTCAAAGTTTATACCATCATCATGTGATTTATCTACCTTTACAGTTCTTCATAGATTGCTAAAACTATTTATTGAAAGTTCATACAAAGTAAATCATAAAGCTATTATAAACAATAAATCATTATTGAGAGTAACATAATTTTAGCATAAATACCAAATCTATACTTAATATTATAAAGAGACAGAGTTTATTTGTCTGATTGTTTGTTTGTTTGAACACGCTTATCTCAGGAACTACTAATTCAATTTGAAAAATATTTTTCCATTAGATAGCCCGTTTATTGAGGAAGGCTATAGGCTATATTTTAATCATGCCACTATCCAAGGGAACGGAGCAGTAATATAATATATAGTCTACTAGCATTGCCCGCGGCTCTGCCCGCGTTCAGATGACCAAAAACCAAATTCTTAGCTTTTACATATTAGTATACCCTTACATTGCAGTTTTTGTATTTTTTCTCAGAAATAAAGACATTTCCCCGCGGTAAAAAGTATCCTATATGTTGACCCGGATAACCAGCTATCACCATACCAAATTTCATCAAAATCCCTCCAGTGCTTGTTCTGTGATGCGGTAACAGACAGACAGACAGACAGACAGACAAAAATTCTGAAAACTAAATATTCTGCCTCCGTATCGATAATAATGTCTATTTCAATAAGACATTCCGAAAAATATTTAATGTACAGATTCGGTTTCGTTACAATTTTATTATATGTATAGATCTATTCCATACTAACCCTTAAAACCTACATACGCTAGTGATAAATATTTCGATAGAGAAAATATTTTCCATCGATGAATTAAAAAAAAATAAAAATAAGTAACAACTAATGTATGTAACTCAGTATTCTTAAATAAAAACAGACATTACAACTTGATGTCTTAATAATGAAGTTGTCATCGAATAAAAAGTAATAACTGAGATGTAAAACAGTTTTTATATTTTCAATCATTGGTCTACATCTGCGATATGTAATGTAAAAGTTATTGCGAAGTTCTTTAATGAAAAATTCCTAACTTATTATATTAACGTAATACGTAAAGTAATCTTGACACAATTTTGAACTAAAAAATATATGATTTATGTTGTATAAGAGTTATTTTTATTTCCAACTGCCTCGGTGGTGTAGTGGCTAGCATGTACGGCTGCACACCGGGAGGTCCTGGGTTCGAGTCCCGGGTCGGGCCAAGTTTAGTTATTGAGTCTTTCTGTATAAGTAAGCCTCAATAACAGCCCGGAGTTGGGAAGTTGGCGATGTTTCACCCCCGTGCCTCAGAGAGCACGTAAGCCGTCGGTCCTGTGCCTTAACTCTCACTGGTCGTGTCGAGCAGTCGTCCCACCGGAGTATGAGAGTGACAGGAATAGAGAGTGCACTTGTATCTGCGCGTACACTTGTGCACTATAATATCTCCTGCGCAGTTTGCTAGTCTCAATGAGATTGGCCGCCGTCGCCGGAATCGGCCAGGAGAACATCATCATCATCATTTTTATTTCCCTCATAAGGTAGACAAAAAGAAATTAGAGACGTCTCACTCTAACATTATTGAAATTACTATACCTTGAGGTCTGATTAAATGTAACCATTTTATTTTATTTAATAAAACTCTAACTTTAATAAAATTTGTTCACTGACTTATAAATTGTTACATAAAAATATGTAAATAAAAATATTTTATTCATTAACAAAAGTATAAAAAACAAACTCCCCTTAAAACGAGGGGTTCCACGTTGTCAAGTGCGGGTTAGTGGACTTCATATTATGTCGTCTTTCGAAAATTTGCTAGGTTTTCTCAGAACTACAGGTTTTCTCACAATGTTTTCTCTCACCAAAGGAAACTGGTAATCATTCGCACTTGAGCATATCAGCGATGCGACTCCTAGGATTCGAACCCGCTTCACTTGCTTTCCCAAGCGAATGCGTTATCTAAATAACGAAGCTTTGTGTTTATAATATAACGTTTTTTCGAAAAATATTTATAATAAAGATTCATTCAGTCCCTCTCAAACTTCATTAATTTCGTTAGTTTCTCTCAGAACTAAAGATTTATGTCATAACCGTACTAATAGATTCAACTTAGTTGTTGTATGTTTTGTAAGCTACATATAAAACAAAAATAATTTTAGAAAATCATTATAATATATTATGAAATTGTAAATAAATACTTAAAAAAACGACTTCCACGCACTAAAAAGTAAAAAATATTCAAACGGAGGTTTTCATTTACTATAGATACCTAAATAAAACTATTTTTTCGGATTATTTCGCATATTTATTTTGTTCCCGTTTGGTTTTTGGTTCCCGACGTTTCGAATGCTTTACAGCAGTCATGGTCATGGGAGAGAGTAAGGTTTTAGACGTCTCAAAGGTCATTATATACTTATTACAGACAGTGACTACCAACAATATTCTTTATATATATATATAAAGAAAATTTTAAAATATATTAATTATTTATTTAAACAATATTATTGTTTTATGTTTGCGTATTAAAAAAAGTTAAAATATTAATATAATTTGCAATTATTTGAAGTAAAATAATTAGCAACACTATTGCTACCTTTATAGATAAAAAATATTAATCTGAATGACAGTTATTTCGATTCATTTTGTTTTTCGATTTTATTTAAAATGTCAAATATTCGCATAAATTTAAGATAATATCATATAGATATTAGATACCTAATGAGATATATTCGAAGTCGTATACTCTATGTAAAAAAAAATATGGGACCACCTCGAGACCTACATATAATACCGTTTAAAGTGGAATAATCGGTCAAGCCGTCTCCCAGAAATTGGTGAACATACATAAAAAAACATACATACAGACGAACATTGAACCTCCTCCTTTTTGGAACAAAAAAAAATTAAAATTACAAATAAATAGGTAGATAGAATTTAAATCATTTGTAAAATTTTAATTTTAGGAGAATGGAAATAAAATCAGGTAGGAATATATAAAAGTATAAAACGACATATTTCACTTTGTTACGTATTTATTTGAGAACAAATAAAAAATGGCAAATGATATTCGCATGCAAACGAGAACACTATCATGCAAATATAATATTATATTACATACGATTTCCTTTGAAATTAAACAATTTTATTGTAAAATATAAACACACAATACAATTGCAATAGAAATAAGGTATTGCAGACTTTTTAACTCATAAAATAACTATTTACTATCAACGGTTTCTAAGAGACTTATTTAAAGGTAAAACGTGTCCGTATTTGAGTAATAATCTCAGAAACTATTGAAGCTTTTTAAATATTCTGAAAAGTTGAGCTTTTTCTGTGTAGTGTTGGCAATTTACTTAAAGTTAGATACAACAAAACATATATTTCATAATATTTAAATTCTCTCTTTAAATATTTGTCCATTTTATTTTTGTAAATATACTAACTTAGAAACTGTTGACAATATAAAATTATACTTTCATATCGGCCCATCATAGAACTAAGGTTTTTCAGAAATTTCAATCGTCATGTGGAAGATAAAATAAAATTTATACAAAAGTATCACTTGTTTGAATTAAACAGTTATTATTTAGCTTTTAGTTTTATTCAGGTTATAAAGAAGTTGATAGAAACTCTTTAAACGAATGAAAAATCAGCTCTTAAATTACGTAAATCTGGTTCCAGCGTCCTTATACTATTTGTACATAATTGAGGCCAAAATGAATATTAATTGTAAATAATATATATTTTTATAAAATATTGGCACATGCATTTAAGTCTGCAAATTTAAATTGTAACAAAAAATTATAATGTAGTATACATGTTTGTCACTATCAAAATTATCACAGAATTTTTATGTAAAAGTGACACTTTACTAATTAATTATTTTTTCTATCTAATTTTTTAATTTAATTCGTTTCGTAACATAAATAGATTCGAATTTTTATTTTTGAGTTCGATTTTCTAATAAAAAATGGCTACAGATTTATTTAATTTGTAATATATTTATTTTTTTAATAAACACATAAAATATTTTTATCAATATACATTTGTATTTTAATTATAAATCACTATTGCATTTGAGCAAAACTATACAATTTTATAATTAAAAAAATACTATTAGACTATTCGAATAAAAAAAAATCGATTTTTATGATTTTAACAAGTATTACAATACACGGTGGTTCATGCAAACATTGATTACTGACGAAAGCCAACAAAAAATTTTTTTTTTGTTTCTTTTTTACACCAATTATGATATAAAAACGTCATATATTCTCTATATACACCTAACCTACGTATTTACATTCAGTCGTTATATTTTAGGAACAATATATTACAATTACAATTGTAATTCAATACAATTGTATAGAAAAAGTCCAATTTTATACAAGCTTAATACACTTTCGCTATACGTGTGTCGCTTGTGACGTCCGGTTTCCACTTCCTGGCAACAAAAATATATATTTACAGTTACATATTGTAATAAATTGCAATAGGGTCGTACGTGAGGGTTGTACATTAAATATTTATTGAAAAAATTATGTTTGGGCGTGAAATATGAGGCAAAAAAATATTTTTTTTACATTTTACTGTTTAGTTGCTTATAGCACAATAACTCAGACAGATTTAAATGAAGGTTTTAATAAGTACGTTATATGTAGGTAATCAAATCAAGCAGATATAATTTTATAGATTTGGCAGGAATTGAACCCGCAAACTACGTTAAAATAAAAAAGGTATTGTTAGAACATTAAATTGTATATAAGTTGTTTTATGGAATGTAATAAAATAACCAAAGAACTTTATGAAGATGAATTGATATGAATGAATAAAAACTACTTATCCAAAATAGCTTTTATGTTACCCAATTAAAAAAAATATATGCTATCTATCATAAATGTCATGACCAAATAACAAACTAAACTTTGAATAGCTTCAAAAGGCTACATTTAATTTTAATAATATACTATGTGTTAATATTGATAGTGAAGAAGTATAGTTATTAAAAAACAAACAATATTTAATACAATAAGGGTTAAAAATCTACTGTTAAAACACAAACTCACTGTTAGTTCGATTAAGAATTACCAGCGTAGATATCGTAAATGGCATATTTGAAACTGGAAATGAAAATAAAAACAAAAACATGCTGTTAAACATAAAATTATAACACGAAATAAAATAAAAGAGTTTAAATATGAATTACATTTAAAATAAACATGATACAATATAATTAATTGTCTTAAATAAATTAAAAAAAAAACTTAAAAATAATTATTAAACTATTAATAATATTAATTGCTGTCATTTATTGGGCACAAGTTACACGAGACACGAGTCTCTGTATAAATCACATAATAAAATGAAATATTCAATTAGATATTCGATTTAAAATATGTTATTAAATATAATCTAGCATATATTATAAAACAAATGAAAATTATAAAATAACTTTAAAGTCAATTTAATAACATTTCATCTAAAATTATTATTATATTTTTTTATCTTTTTATAAACTGTCTATGTATAACTACATGAATGGTGATGGTTTTAAATCCAGTAACTTAATGGATAGATATATTTTATACTGTGATTTTTCTGTACAATCAACTTTATCTATTGTATTAAACAAGCTTTTTGCTATAAAAACACTTTGGTTAGAAAGATTTCTAGAATAGAGTAGAATAAGAACAGTTAAAACCTCATACCAAAAACACAAAGATGCAAATTAAATGTAACATTACGAAAAATGGTTTAGATATTGCGGAATAAATACATGCACATACACCCAAACAAAGCATTGCTTAACCTTTGTCTGGTTAATTCAAATACATACTAGCTAAAGCGAAAAAAAAGTTTAATCTAAGACAACCCTTTAAATATATTTTTAAATCAAAATAAACAAACACCGTGCGATAATTTTCTAAGTAGCGCGAAAATGACCTAACCCAAAATAGTCACGAATGAAACAAATAACGAAGTTTTAAGTAATCGAACAAGTCAAGTTTGACTCGCGAAACAAGGTTTCCGACACAATTAATATTTTGTTGTTTTTGCCTTAATATTTGTTAGTTTGTATTTCATAGTATTTCTCAAAAACACTAACAAAAACTATGTCGTGTCAGATTCAAAGGTGTCCCACATCTTAAAAACGAGTAAACATAATATTTGTTAAAAGTATTTTAAAATTTCTGTTAAATTTATTAAAATTTTCTGTTCCATTTACCATTTTACAATTAAATTAATTGATTTACTTCAAAATCTTTTAGGAACACCTATATTATTTTTATCTATTGAACTTCTTATCCCTATCCCAATCAAAAATAGGTCATTTTTACGCTAACTTCATATTACATAGATAACACTACCAAAAACCACACCGTGCATACATTTTACCTAGTTACCTAAATCTACGCCTATGTACCTGGCACTCGCGCGGAGTAAGGCGGCGGAGCGGGCGTTGATGCCGGCTTCGCAGTGTTCACTTATTGGATAGATGCTTTGTTTATTTTATTGTTAATTTGTCCTTTTTATTGGTACAGTATAAAGAAAATTTTGGCATTTTTTTTAATTAAATATAATTAATTTAATTATTAACAATTCATTTTCTTCATACTGTGCCAAAACACACATTGTTATAAATTATAAAAGACTTAATAGAGTGTATAATTAACTACATATTTTGTTTATTTTGTACATCTATGTCGAGAGTCTATACATATTACATAGAAATATAGACCACAACAAATACTTATAAGAACAAAATGTATATCTTAGTGGGACTCGAACCCGTAAAGTTCGTCATAGAGTCTGTATAACTCAGATCGTCGAAGATCTTAAAGATCTTTAGGTCGAAATCATAAACAGACACTTCTTACGTTCATTATATGTATAGATTTTTAATTAGCTACATACTAAAATTTTGAGTCGACATGTATTTTTTTAATTAAAACAATTTATTTTATTGTATAAATGTAATAAAGCCTTAATTTAAAAAAATGCAATGGAATACCATACCAATATACAAAAATAACAATTAATTTAATTAAATTTTCTTATCATTTTAGAGCAAGGATGCATATTTCAAAAGTCAACAAATCAAAAGTGTTTCAACGCGCTTTGTGCATCTAAGTTTGAAGATAGATGAGCCAAAGTAACTTTCTACGAATTATATTCAACTAATAAAGATATACTTATAAATAGATATTAAGTTTTATTCAGATAAATATATTGTGTCTGTTTTTGATTTAAACTAAAATAATATTAATAATTAATTTTAGTCTCTAAATAAAGATGATGAAATCTATGTATGTAATTAATAATTAAATTATATTCATCTTATTTCTAAAATTAATAAAATAGTAACTCAGAATTTATGTATATATATATTATATATATAGAATTTATATATAATATTTTCTCTTATAGAGCAAATACTGAGAGATCAAGAAGATACGGGAATCGAATCCCCAACCTCTATGATTCTTCTCTATTATACTTTTTCTTGCATTCATGTAGGTATGTATGTATATTAATAGCAGATCGAGCTATGTTGGGATGCTGATATTATTTCTCATGAGAAACTTTACTGTCTTTATCACCCTTTTACGGGGCTTAATTTCAAAAATCCTTTTTTAACAGTTACATATTATGTATGTCCATTGTTATGTATTGTTGGTGAATAGATTAGGTAAAGCAACTTTATATATTATGTAACCAAACTTACCCGTAGAACTGTTCCTAAGGTAAGGGTTCCCATAGGTAGCGGAGTACCGGGGGTCAATGGCATTTTTCTGTTGAGGGTATACCGGTGCTTGGGGGGCTGTGAGGGGTTAAATTAGTTTAATGGTAATTTTGTTAAATGGTAAATTAGTTTATTTATTGGTAATTATATTTTGTGGTAAAAATATTATATTTAGTAATAATTCGCTTGTCTTTTTGGGTCATTTACATAGTTTTTTTGTAGTTTGTAAAAATATTTTACTTTGTACTTTATTTGGATGATAGAATTGATAAAAATAGCGATGAAGAAAAATAGTTCGGTTTTCGAAAATAATTATCATATTTTTTTTTGAAATGATAAACTAAAGAATTAGGCAACTTACTGAATCAATTATACAACCCAGATTTTTTAAAACATGAATACGTTCTGTCATGGAAAGTACATAAAGATATTGCTTACCTATGTATTATTATATACATTATTATATTACCTTATATACATTATGTTATATACACAGCAGGTATTTTTTGTTATTTTTCTATCCCTTTAAATATAATATTAACGTTATTTCTAAAGTAAATTAATAATAACTCTCACCTTCCCCACCAGTAGGGAGTCCTAGATTATTTATAGCATCAGTTTCGTTTTTCGTTCGTTGTAAGGAGTTATTCTGTGAAACATTGCCCGCGGACAGTGGAAGTGTTGATGCCGTGTCGATACTACGAGTTAGAGAGCCTTGGAGTGATCTGTATAATTTAATCATATAATTTAAGTAAAATTGTTTTTTTTTCGGGTTGTTAATGACAATTAATGTTAAAAAAAACAGTTTTTTTTTTCAATTTATTTTTTCTAAGGGTTTTGAAAGGAAGGAATGGTTTAAGGCACTTATGGTCACGGTACAGACTAAGGTTTTTGACAAAATTCATAGTTATTACAAGCGTGTATTAAAACGCAATATTATACAATGATTTAAAAAAAAAGAGAAAACGCATGGAATACCTTATAAATATTTAAAATAAAATTTAAGTATGTATTTTATACCAATAGAATCGACATTTAAAAGTGAATAATTTCGGTAAATTGGTCGTATAGACAAATAAGTGTAGTAACGACGAGTAGTGTTTCTTAATATTCAATATACACCATACAATATACACCATATAATATTCACCTTGTAGGAACATCTAGTGTGGGCGACTGTACCCGTAGATGCGGCGGCGGCGCGTATCCTTGCGGGTAGTCGTAGATATATGCATTTGGAGTCTATATTACATAAAGATAGACAGTATTAGAATTTAATTATTATAAATATTATTATAGAGATTATATAAATATAAAACTGTGTATAATAATATATTTTTTTTAAATATTGGAATATATAACAGAAATTAATGATAACAATGATTAATTTAATTAAAAAAAAAGCGGACATGACTTGTACAGTAAAAATTAAGTGTACACTTGTTCTGTATATATAATTAAGTATTTTTATAATTTCAATGTGTTTCCTTTATTGTATATGTAAATAAAATTTATAACTTACTTTAAAATAGTTATCCGAATACGCAGGATCAGAATAGTCATTGCTATATCGGAACTGCATCATTGGCTCGTGCAATGTGACGGGACCCGCGAGGGGAAGTCCGACTGGCTTGGAGTCAGAGTGGTCGGAATTTGTGTATTCCTGTGGTAATGTATATATAAGTTATTTACCCTGGTAATTATAATCTTTGTAGGATTTTTCGGATTTATTTAGGCTTTTGCTTCCCGACGTTTCGAATGCTTTCCATTTCACACCAATCATGGTCACAGGAGAGACGCAATAGTATCCGGAAAAATAGTTTTATTTAAAATGTCAAATATTCGCGTAAATCTAAGAAAGTATTGTTTACAGTATCTGTCTAATATAATACCTTTAAACGAGCAATTCTTGTATATTTATTTATTTACATATACATATATACCGGCGATCTAGGAAACGGCTTTACCGATTTCGCTGAAATTTGGTATGTAGGGGTTTTCGGAGGCGAAAAATCAATCTAGATTAGTCTTATGTCTGGAAAAATCGTGTTTTCAACTTTTCCTGCGGTTTTCTTTCGCATTATTCTACGCAAAATATGGGCGCAATTTCGCACGCTCGGGCATAAGCATCGTGGTCAAGCAGCCAAGGCACATGGTTGAAATTCACAGGTGTCCGGGTTCGAATCCCGGTCAGATACAAAGTTTTTACTTTTTAAGAGATTTTAATAGTTACTCTGCTATTCGGGGCGGAGACAAATCCAAGAAATAAAATACCATGATAATCGGTCAACCAGTTCTTGAGGTATAAGTGTTGCAACAAACCTGACTTTGTTTTATATATGTAACGGGATATCCATTAACTTGTTACATAGAAACAATCAGAACCCGCGACCTACACACACATACACACACATATATATATATATTATATATATACGAAATAAAAAATGAATTAGCTACTACTAATCAAATTTTAAGCGATTCTACATAATCTGATTTGAGCGTTTGTAATTTGTCCAAAATTGTGCGTTTAATGTAGTCCCTTGAGTGACATGATACTAATCGTATAAACTTTATATCGCATTAAGTGTACATTTGAATTTACGTTTTGAGCTACGCGGGTATAAATAAAAAATTAGACTGCGGTACTATTGTATAGAATAATTCAATAAATTTTCAAGTTTGTAGTTCGATGTGGGTTTCCCACATGAATTTCTCGAAAACTACTCGATAGTAAAAGTTTCGTCTAAATCTGTAAAGCAATTCTTCTTTTATCATCTAACCCATGGCAACTCCTTACATTTTCCAGGTGTCCTTGTGACATATACTCTCTCCCGAATTCTCTATCTACTAGCGAAGACAGAAAGACGAGCAAATAGTTTTCAATATTATCTTAACACGTTTTGTTACAATTTTTTAATGACAATTAGAACCCACACAATCACGACAAATAACTGGAAAACATTGTGGCTTAAAATTATTTGGATCATTCCTTATATCATTTTTTTACGAATCTATAAAGAATTTTCTTCATATTACAGTATTTTAATTGTTTTTTTTTATAAAAATCTCATATTGTGACCAATTTTCAAAATTTTTGAGGTATTGTTCCAAATCTACTCACCAAATCGTAGCTTCCATCGCTTTGCGGCAGTTGCAATTTCAAATCACTAATATTAGATGACCTATCACTTTCTTTATACATATCAGTTGTAACAGTTACGTCTGGTTTCTCACTCAAAGGCTTCCTTCTTCGTCTGTGACATAATATCAAAAGTATCACGAAGGCTGAGAACACTATTATTCCTGATGTAACTCCAATTAATATTATAAAGAGTGGTAGAGTCTCTGTAAAGAAAAGTTAATTTAAATAATAAATTAATATATTGACCTGCAAATAATAATATTGTAACTCAGTATTGAGATAATTTTAAAATTATACATTCAATATCGCTTAAAATGAGAGAAGCGGGTATCAAAACCCGCATACCGCACCTCTGCCCCTCCTCGCTTCGTATAAGGCCTGTACCTAGCAGTGGGGCATTAAAAGGGGTTAATTACTATTATTAATATACTAGCATTGCCTGCGGCTCCACCCGCGTTCAGATAACCAAAAACCAAATTCTTAGGTTTTACATATTAGTATACTCTTACATTGCAGTTTTTGTATTTTTTCTCAGAAATGAGATATTTTCCCGCGGTAAAAAGTATCCTATATGTTGACTAGGATAACCAGCTATCATCATACGAAATTTCATCAAAATCTGCCTAGTGGTTTTCTCGTGATGCGGTAACAGACAGACGGAAAGACAGACAGACAGACTGACAAAAATTCTAAAACATAGATTCGGACTCTGTATTGATAATAATGTCTATTCCAATTAGATTTTCCAAAAAATATTTAATGTACAGGTTCGACTTAGTTACAATTTAATTATATGTATAGATGATTTATTACACTATTTTATTAATTTACTACCTGACTGACAAATAATTCAACTACTAGTTTAATCCCTTGCGAATAAAAGGATGTGTACCAGACTCCCTAATGGAAAGATGGAAAACTTAGGTTAATGTAAGGTTTTTGATTAATAAGCACATTACATTTTGGAGATTGGTTAAATGCGCAGGACATATTATAATCAAAACACACTTGTACTCTCTATTCCTTTCACTCTCAAATTCCGATAGTATGACAATTTGATAAGAAGCACGAGGGGGTAACGTCGTCAAACCAACTCAATTATTCTCTTTTTTTTAGAGAAAATTCCATTAGATATACTTTGCGCCAAAACCTAACCTAACCCAATACTCGAACCCAGGACTTCAACATAAGACTCAAATAAAAGACCAAGAAGGCAGTTGTATAATTATTTAAAAAATAGATACGATACTCACTAATAGGTTTAAGGGTGATAGCCATATTTGCATTCCCATATTCGTTTGTCACACTGCAGTTGTAGACGCCATAGTGCTTGGATTGACAGGCACGTATCACTAAACTTGATTTGACTATTCCCCCTGGCAATAATTCTTCTAATTTCGCATAATCCTATAAAAAGTTATATTATAAGTATACAACGTAAAAATTGTATTACAATGTTACAAAAAGCAATGATTTTAAAAGTATATCATATATCGAACTATTTTTATAAACCTTTTTGGTGTTACTGTAAATACGAAGGCTTGTATGTGTTGGTATGTTTGTTACTTCTTACGATGAAAGTGCTCGGCGGATTTCCATGAAATTTTGTATAAAGACTATGATCTAGAATTCATAGGCTGTTATTATTAGAATCCTCCAAAAGGTGACGGTGTCAAATATTAGAATCGAACCTGCGACCTTTAACATAGACTGCAAATTCAGTAAATCGTCATGCAAATATACCCCCATATATAAAAGCTCGAATTTATATTTATAATGACCATTTGGTGCAACAGGCAAATTGAATATTAATTATAAAGGTCACGAATTTGATTTTTCACTTAAAGTTTATATGCCTCTGATACAATGAAACTTTTTTATTACCAAATCCATAAAAAAGTACAGTAATTTGAATTAAATTACTGCTAAATTTCTTTTTAATCGGCCCGTTTGAAAGAAACCACTGTAGGTTATTCTATAAGTTATTTAGAAAATTAGCCCTGACACTGCAAGGTAACAACCGCTGTATTTAGAAAGATGAAATTTTGCACAAGAGTTTCGACTATAAAGAAAGTGCAGTGAAAATATTTTTTAAAAACATCGTCTTATAATCTATATATAAATATTCATAGAAAAACAAGCTCAGTACTTTTTTCTCTTTCTTTGTCAGCCGACTTTTTGTTTCTTTTCTTTTTTGTTTAGTGATTATTGACGAAAATTGTTTTGAAAACGTTTTAAGTTTTGAAAAGAGTTAGTTTTTTTTTATATGAGGACGTTTGGCTTAGTTTGTAGTGACCCTACTTGCTGTGCCAGCGGTCGCGTGTTCGAATCCCGCTGGGGGCATTCTTTTGTGTGATGAGCACGAATGTTTGTACTCCAGTCATGGCTATTTATATTTATAATATGTATGTATTTAAAATAATATATGTGTATTCAGCCCTTTTTATCGTCCCACTGCTGGGCACGGGCCTCCCTTCAGTACGAGGGCCATAGTCCACCACGCTGGCCAAGTGCGGGTTGGCAAATAATATATGTGTAGTGTATCAACTATCAGGTATCCATAACACAAGCTTCGTAGCTTACCATGGAACTTGATGGTGCTGTGTGTTAATGACTCTACATATCTATTTATTATTATTATTATATAGATAGGTAAAGTCTATTTATATCTTGTTTCTCTCAAATTTTCAATAATGATTATAGTTGGTTATTATGGTATTATGGTTTCGACCATTGGGCGAACACTAGCACGGTTAAATATGGGATGAAAGTTTTTAAATTAGGTACATATAAGTTGACATATAAGTTGTTTGAGTTTCTATTTATATTGCCAATGGAAAATTCCATCGAACATATTATTTATCTATAAAGTTTACAATATATAAGTATTATTTTATTATAGGAGTGTCATATACGTATGACATTTCATTAAACGTTATCCTATAAATTGATTGGGTGTAAGTGACGAGTTAAGGCTTAGTATGAGGTAAATAAAAACGGTGCAGTTAAAGATACTACAGTGATGATAGTAACCATAGGTGGTATATTACGATAGGTACTAAAGTAAAATAATATATTTGTTTATTTGTGTAATGTATATATAACTATGTATATCATTAAGCTCTTATATTAAAACTATATTTGATTGAAGGAAGATTTTGTACAATTTTTGTCCGTATGTTTGCTTTTCTTTTTGTTAGAGAGTTCGACAAATTTCATGACCACTCTTTCGTTATCTTTTTATCTCATCTCATATATTAGCATCTTAAAAGCGTCATCAAAAAAAGTGCACAATTAGAAAATATTGCACCTTTTTCAAATCTATTTTCTTTATTGATTTTCGAACGACAAAATTAAAACCTTCATTGTTTCGTTTAAAAAAGTACTTTAGGTGGTGTGCGTAAGTTCCAATTTATGTTTAGACAATTAGAACTTACGGCTTTTGAATTTTATTCTTTTGTTTAGAATTAACGTCACATGTCGACGTTACTTTTTTAAAGATTTTTATATATCAATGTTTATAACCAACTGAATAAAAAAATTCGTATACAAACCCATACAATAAATGAATATAATTTTTCTATAAATACAAGTACTTACCGGATCATGAATAACGCTTATTTCTTTCCCTTCAAAGTACCATCTGATGTCGTCAGGTTTTGGTACGGATAGGGCTTCACATTCTACAGTCACTTTCTCTCCCTCTATACCTAATTGAGTTCTGTTTGATATGATGTTGGGAGCACCTAAACAAAAATGTTAAATAAAACATTAAAAGTGAATAAGAAAAAATTGTTATAAATATTAATAGAACTAAAATAATTACTTTAAACAAAAAAATAATAACAGTAAATCTATATCTATACATACTCGTATATATTATATATATATATATTATATATATATATATATATATATATATATATATATATATATATATATATATATATATAGTATAGTATTAGTATATTAAATATTTTTTTGAAAATCTTATTTTACTTGCCATTATTATCGACATAGAGGCCGAATCTACGGTTTTTTGAATTTCTGTCTATCTGTCTGTCTGGGAATGCATTGCTTGAAAACCACAGGGCAGATTTTGATGAAATTTGGTATATTGATAGCTGGTTATTATGGTCATTATATACGATACTTTTATTTGCGGGAATAATTTTATTTTTATATTGATAGGACGATCCGAGCGGAATGAGGGTGAGTCGCTAGTAGTTAATATTTTTACATACGGGGCATTTCATATGAAGCGGACAGGAAAAAAAGTGAGGTTAGGAAATTTGTTCATATGCGGGTTATTTATACCTCTAGTAGGTATGAAAGTGGATATGTAATATTTTTTTTCTACGGTGTTTATTTTTAAAATTATGGGCCTTTGAAAAATAATCATATCGAAATATCGATGTTTTAGATTCAGTTTTTCGAATGGGGAAAAAATACAAACAACTATTAAACTTGGCGTTTTGTATAGGTTTTTACATTTCTAATATTAGTATGAATATTTATAATATTAGTATGGCTTTTACATTTATAATATTAGTATGGATATAGTACATACATATTATGTAGGTATGATAAGTTTTATGTCTTTTCCAGGGTCTCAAGCTATTTCCATACTAAATTTCATCTAAATCGGTTCAGCGGATTAAGCGTGAAAAGGTAACAGACAGACAGACAGCACTACTTTTGCATTTATCACATTAATAACGAATTACAAATTATTGCTCCAATATACAAAATTTCATTAAAAAATATGTGCAGACAAACAGAGCTACTGTCATATTTATAATATTAATATATTATATATTATTATAACATATCCCTTCACTTTGAAATATAATACTTTAATGCGCCATATTCTGCGCTAATTTCGCTAAGTATCTTGTTACGTACGTAATACATACTTGTCTCTAGTTGATGAATGGAGTGCCAGAGTAATAAATTTACATCTCAACTACTATTATAGTTATTTAGCTATGTACTTGAGTTAGTAATTTAACCTTTAATTAGTAGCGCGGTCCAATGGACCCCATACGATATTGTTTATATTATACTAGCAGAGCCCGCGGCCTCGCTCGCGCTAAAACTACAAAAAAATCTCTTAAATGGTAAGTTTCATACAAAATTTCATTCGCTATTTTACCCCCTTATAAGATGAATTTCGAAAAATGCTAAAACATGTGTTTAATTAATTGTATTGAAGAGCATTAATACCAAGTTTCAAGTAATTCTAATCGTAAATATTTGTTGTATTGTATTATAACGTGTTCTCCCGTGGGAAAGAGATAATCTCCCGCGGTAAAAAGTACTACGTAACTCTCCAGCCCTTCAACTATCTCCACACAAAAAATCACGCCCATCCGCCAAGCCGTTTCAACGTGAAAGAAAGACAAACAATCAAACACACTTTCACATTTATAATATTAGTATGGATTTCGATAAATATTATATCTACACGCCTGTTCGCTCTAGTAGCTTTATAGCTCGCGATTGGCGTTTTTCGAAATAGATGTAAAAATTGTTTTTTATAAAGCACACTTATACAGATAAATTTAAAGAGCTAAACCTTATTTAAATACAAAATTTGATTAAAATCGTTAGAGCCATTTTCTAGTTATGCGAGATAAATGTACTCGTATATGTATATAAGAATTACTCATTTAATATTATAAGATATATGGAAAAGTCTGTGGAACTTATTTTTAACCATTCTTAAGTAGAAATTGAATTCATATTTAAAAGAAGTTGTATACACGATATAGTGTAACACAGAGAAATAAATAATATAATCGATAGATATAATACGTAGATTTGATTTTTTATTAGTTATTTAGCATTTCACAAATTTTGATCGATTTCCATATTTTTTTCAACGAATACGTTACCGTCGAGGGTGAAATATAACATAAAAAAATCATACTCTAGGATGATATTATTACTTTTCAGTACAATTATTTACTTTTTACTTCTATGTAAATAGTTTTTTCTTATAGTAAAGTCGTCTTAAGTAAATAATATCTTTCAAGTATGTGAAATTATCAGATTATTAAATAACGCTTAATTTATATAAAACCTATTTAGACAACACAAATTAACATAAAAAGTTTTTTTTTTATTAATATGTGTATCTATGTATGTTTAAATACTAACCTTTAATGAATATAGTGGCTTCACTCTCAATGTCATCGTAGCCGTCCACGCTGGCCTTACAAATGTACCGACCCGCGCTTCTCTCGTCGACGTACACCTTCAAGTTCGGGGCTTTCCCCTTAACCTGCTGGAAGTATTGCTCGTTCACGTAATGGTATTTATTTAAACAGATAACTGTTTGTTCGTTTGTTTTTTTTTGGGAAAATAGAGAAAATTGAAGCATGTCTTGTACTTTAATAAGAAAATTTTGGTTTAAAACATACATAAGTATAGATAGTAAGTAACATAGGTATTAGGTACTCTTAAGTTTGGGGCTTGTTTCTAGGTATCTTTTATGTATATATAATACCTTTTATATACAAGTATCGCCAACTTTTAGCAAATTTCATTTCTAACTGTAACACGTTATTCCAAATCAAAGTCTATCTGTAAACTAAAAACCCAAATCAACCCAGCCATTTCAGCGTGTAGGAGTAACAAACAAACAAACATACACACATACAAATTTTCGCATTTATAATAATAACTAGTGGCTCACTCTCGCTTCGCTCGGGCTCGTCCCTAGGTACATTTTAACGGTTAGTATTGAATAGATAGACTATATATTATATAACGGGTTTTCCGTGAGAATGAGATAATCTCCCGCGGTAAAAAGTAGCCTATGTCACTCTCCAGCCCACCAACTATTTACACACAAAAAATCACACTAATTTGTCACTCTTTTTCGACGTGAAAGAAGGACAAACAAACAAACACACTTTCACATTTATAATATTAGTATGGATATGGATTTATAATATTAGAGCGAGATATGACATTCAGCACAAGTTATATTATATAACCCCTCCATGGTAATCACTTACCCCGATTCGTCCAGTCTCATGGAACAGCCAACGTATGTCGGGTGTTGGGTGACCGTCGACGTCACAGCTCAACGTGACGGTAGAACCGACCGCGGCTTCGATATCTTTAGGTCGAGTGCGGAAAGATGGTGGATCTGTGTAAGTTTTGTTATTTTTTTTATTAATTTCTTATTTGTACATGAAGAAAACAGCTGTGTTTGATCTGAAGATATATTTTAAGCTAAGCAAATGTTTCTGTGTATTAATATTATATTTTCCAATCAAGTATATTGAACATGTATGTAATTTCACTAAAATTCGTGCTATTTTATCTTTTTATTAATATGATTTTATTTTAGTTGTTATCGAGAGGTATTCTTTTCATACCGTCCAAGTAGAAAGATTTTTTCGCTTACTTTGCGAAATGAGTTACTTCGAGATTAGGACCAGTAGCACTCCGATTCGAACATTGAAATTAATGAATATCGCTTATATTCTAACAGCCTTTTAATCTTTTAGATAGATTTTTTTTTAAATATCTATACATAAACTATTAACTATTTGACGGCACGTTTAGCTCAGTTTGTAGTGACCCTACTTGCTGTGCCAGCAGTCGCGGGTTCGAATCCTGCTGGGGGCATTCATTTGTGTGATGAGCACGAATGTTTGTACTTCAGTCATGGGTGTTTATATTAATAATATGTATGTATTTAAAGTTATATATGTGTAGTGTATCAACTATCTGGTACATACAAGCCTCGTAGCTTACTATGGAACTAGACAGTGCTGTGTGGTAATGTCCCAACATATTGAAAAAAATTAAAATAAACGAGTACTTACAAGTCACGTTCAACGCTAGTGACGCCTCGCTCTTTCCCGCGAAATTGCTAACTTCGCACTTCACTATTGCCTTATTGTGTTTGCGGGACACATTAAAGATGATCTAGGAAGAAAAAAATTATATAACATCCTTATGTTACGTATGAGCCTTACGCAAGAATCGAATACACGATCTCTATCTCTTCAGGGAGTGCTATTTAGAATGTTCTCTCTGGCTTATTATTGCTTATGTAGGTTACATTTAGTTCAAGTACTAGAGGAGTATCATCATGTGTACATTAAATGATTGCATTGGATATGCATATTTCAAAAAAAAAGTGCTTCTCTCCCTATCGTAGTCTATTATACTAGTCTAAACTAATATTATAAAGTTTGTGAGTGTGTGACGATGTAGGGGGCAATCTCTGCATCTACTGAACAGATTTAGATGAGATTTGGTTAAAAGATAGTTTAAGACCCTGGGAAGGACATGGAATACTTTTTATCCTGGAAATCATCCCTTAAGGGGTTGAAAATGGGGATGAAATTTTGTATTTGGAAGAAAGCCAGGGACGAACCCGAGCGTAGCGAGGGCGAATCACTAGTATAAAATAAAAATTTAAGTAAAATAGGAAAATAATTCTCATAGAAAAGAAAGGAATTACGTTATTTTGTCTCGAAAAATAGTCATGAAGTAATAATTTAATGATTCGAATCGGACTCGCACACCAAGGGTTCCTTACCAACATCGTTTTTTTTTAATTTGCATGGCAGTCTTTGAAATTTGCCAGCTTAGTTTTTTATTATTTGTTGTTATAGCGGCGAAAGAAATACATACTCTGAAAAAATTTCAACTCTCTACCTATTAGGGTTCATAAGATACAGCCCTCTGACAGACGAATGGACGGACAGCGGAGGCTTAGTAATAGGGTTCCGTTAGCAACTTTCGGGTACGAAACCCGAAAAATGTAACACATTTTAAACTAAAAATGACACAAACTTTAGTTATCTTTTAGTTTCTAATTTTCCATGTTAATGTTACTAACCTACTTTAATAGTAGACTCACATTTAATACATCTAATGCAAGACTTAACATATTGTTGCATTCACAATGTGATACTTGATTGTTACGAGAGTTTAATACGATCCCATATTTTGGTAGAAGCAAGAAACTAGCGAAGTTTTCGAAAGTTATAGTTAAAGGTACAATGTGATTTAATTAAATTTTAAATACTGAGCTATAACAAATAATTAAAAAGTGTATTAATATTATGAAAAATGGCGTAGTGATACATAGTATTCCTCTAGTAAATAAACTAAATCTAACTAAATGCAAGACTAACAAAAACAAATATAGACCAATATAATTTGTAAGAATAAAAAATTCAGTTAAAAATTATGTATCACATAATATTACGCAATAGCAAAATTTCGTGGAATGAAATATTAATAAAAGGGAAAATTTCAAAATGAAGCCGCGAGAGACTCAACCTTTAAAAAAACTACTTTATTTATAAAACACGAACATGCTAATTTTTAAGTTTGTCTTCAGCCCTTTTTAAAGTCCCACTGCTGGACACGAGTCTCCCAATGCGAGGGGCCATCAGGTCATAGTCCACCGCACTGGCTAAGTACGGGTTGGCGGACTACACATATCTTTCGAACACTTACTAAGTTCTCTCAGATGTACAGGTTTTTTCACGATGTTTTCCTTCACCGTAAGACAACTAGTAGTCATGTTGGAAATATTTCACACGTGGAAACATTAGAGAGGCGGGAGATCCGAGATTTGAACCCACTTCACCCGGTTTCCCAAGCGAGCGCGTTACTACCACTGCCTAATTTCACGGTATTTTATAGTAAATCGTTCTAAGATCCTCATAAAGCATGTTCTCACATTCACAGAAACAAGTATACGTCTCATTCAAACAACCCTTGCCTTCATTTTGAATTAATGCTGACGATCCTACATTGCTTGCTGTTTTGTATCTTTAAAGCATGTAGCACAGTACATACTAAGAATAAATACCAAACTTTGATAATATATGTTATAATCGTAATAATATATTTGTCAGTGACGTTTTTAAGTCTTTTTTTATATTTTCATAACTTTGCCTATTTTTAAAGTAATTCAATAGTGACTAGCTTGGACGACTGCAATTTTGGAAGTTCTGAGTTTGAGTCCCAGGTCGAGTAAAGTGCAGTTATTTGGTTTTTGGATTAAGTCTCAGCAGTGGAATCTTAAAAGGGCAATATTACTAACATTACATTATTATTTATTTTTAAACTTAACTCTTCTTAATTACTATTATGACTTATGAAAATATAAAAATATAACAAAATCCAACTCTATCATTCACTGAACATCAACAGATATTATAAAAGTTATTCTACAAAAACCTAAATAAAATAAACTTAAATATATAAAATTCATATTTATCATAAAAAATATTAAAGCTGTCACTGGTCTAAACACCTAAATACTGTCAACTAGTTCAGTTAAATATGAAACGCCCATATGATGACTCTTACGTCTTAGCTACAGACTATTAGCTACGTATGTTAATCCAAGGCTTTACTAAATGTGTGTTTTAGTCATTTTTGTAACGAACAGTTAAAAAATGACTAAAACATACTTAGAAAAGGTTAATTAAACTTTTTTGTATGTTTTTTTTCTATCTATGTTATAGAAAATATCGTCCCAAGAAATGTAAAAAATTCAACAAGTACGAGTCGAATTCGCACACGAAGGGTTCCATACCATCGTACATGTACTTTTTATTAACAGGACTATAGTATTAATATGGTCAATTTTTCATTAGTTCTTTCACTTACAAATATTAAAGAAAAACTATAAAATTAGTTTGAGTACTTAAAACTTACCATCTCATCCGTATAATCACCTACAACGGGATGATTGTTAAGATACCAAGCGTACATTTGGGCGGGCGGATTTGCATCAACCAGACATCGAATCCGGGCCTCAGTGCCTTCTGGGATCTTATTACTGATTGCACCAGATACAACTGATAAGTTTATTTTTGGGGCGTATTTCACCTGTATAAGAGAATAAATATGTAATTATTATATCATACTCTTCAGAAGGAAGGAGAAAAAAAGAAGAGAATAATGCAGCTGAATATTTACTTATGTACGTACTTTAGAAGCATATAATATCTAACTCTGTCACTATATGCTTGAATAAGTCATTGAAAAACATCCACCTCAAACAAAAAAAAAGAACTAAAATCCGGAAAAATACGACACGCTTATGTGGGCCCAAATTTTTTTAGGAGTACCATCCATATTTTTATTTTTTATAATACGAGTATAGAATGTTCTAGCTATATACATGAGGCACATACCTACCAAATTTTTAACAATGTACAATGTACATATCCCCAATGTTTTTGGAGAATTTCCCAATTGAATATAAATTGAATCTGGCTTATCGTTTTTAAGTTGGCATAAATATGACATACGGCCAGACAGAAAACAAAAAACAGACATACTGACATGATAAAAAATTTTTGGTCTACAGAACCCTAAAAAATTTCATTTAAACAGAATTGCGGACTTAACGTATTTAAAAAATTAAAAAATACTGGTCAAGTGTAAGTCGACCTCGTGCACATATTTTCATATAAAAGAACAAGTCATGTAAAGAAAAAAGATTTGACAAAAAAAAATTAATTAATATAATATACCTTACTAACCTCTATTTGAACAGTGGCCATTCTATACGCCCTGTCTGCTGTATTTTGTGCTTGACACGTTATTGTTTGGTTATGATGCTCCTTATTAGGAATTAACCGCAATACTGATCTGTTGGGACATATCTTAATATATATCTACATCCATAATTAATTAGGGGGCATCCATTAATTGCGTGAGGCGTTTAGGGGAGGGGGAGGGGGAGGACTGGGTCGAGCAAAACCTCCCTCAATCTCACATGGGGGAGGGGGTCTCGGCAAATATCACGTAATTTTTTTCCCTCAAGAAACAATGTAAAGTTACGAGAAAACTAGGTTAATTTAAATGAAAAAGGTTTCTCCACTAAAATATGGCTAAATCATATATCATAATATTCATTGCGGTTTAATTATGCACTGATAGCTATGTATTATTAGTATTTTATTGTTTGATTTTCTCATTGCGATTCTATGCTACGTCATTAAAAATCTGAAATATCTGCTAGTCTTATCTAGTCTTAAATAAAAAAATATATAAGAAAATTGTATTTTTTTAATAAATCTAATGTAATCGAAGCACAGATTAACTCATTTACATTGCAAATACGCATTTTTTAAAATTTCACGTGAGATTAGCTGAGGGGGGAGGGGGTTGAGCAAAATCTCACGTAATCTTACCAAGGGTGGGGGTCGAAAAATCGCCAAAATTGTCTCACGTAATTAATGAATGCCCCCTTATTATAGTTACACTAAAATAATTAATAGAGTGAAATTTGAAATGTAGATATCCTTTTTTTAAAGTTGGAAAATTCATTTAAGTGTAACACCTGCGTTTATACAGATTTAGAGCTAGAAAAGTCAGTAATACCCACTAAAGCCAACGGAACCTCCCCCGTCTTAATGGGGCGCAGGATCGCTTATGCACTCAACTAAACTAACATAATATACATAAAAGATGAATGAACCAACACATATTTTCTGATTTACATTATTATATTTAGAGTAGGTACGGAGTGAGTATATCTTAAAGATATTCCTTTCTCATATTTTCCTTTGTAGAATAAAAAGAGAATACAAAATGATAGCTCTCTTAAAAAACCTTAGATATTTTTACTTTAGCATAAGAATTTCAGTCAATTCTCAAAAAAACCCAATCAACCAATACAAAATAAGATTTCTTCAACACAATTTTTTTAAATTTGTAAATCTATATAGTCTTAATAAAATGTTAGAACAGGAATTGAAGCTCAATATTAAGTTATATACACACTATTTCATGCAATAAGTATTATCAGTATTAACTTACCTAGTTTTATATCTTTGTTCATCTGGTAACAGTTCTATTCTGCTTTCTACATTTTTCGTAATTACTAATTGGTTTCCATCGACCCACGTGATCTGTATAAAAAAAATTTTTGTTAGTGATTGCCATTAACGAGCTATCTCTGCAATGTTTGTAACCTATAGAAATATTGAATTGTGCCTACACGTTGTGTCACATTATGTTATTAACATTATGTTATTAACATTATGTTGGGACATTAACATACAGGACCACCTTTTTATCCCGGAAATCATCCCTTAAGGTGATCAAAGTTTGTATTGGGGAGCAAGCTAGGGACGAACCCGAGAGAAGCCAGGGTGAGTCGGTAGTACATATTATAATATAAACACCCATAACTGGAGTACAAACATTCGTGCTTATCAAACAAATGAATGGCCCCAGCGGGAATCGAACCCGCTACCGCTGCCACAGCAAGTAGGTTCACTACTAGCTGAGCCAAACGTGCTGTCGCTTTTACTCATAGATACGAGGATTCGATATACAGTGGCATACTATATTATGCGAATGACGCCGACAAAAGCTCGTTATTTAAAATGTATTTAGAAATTGAAATAGCTAATTATTAAAAAAAATGACCTCCATTTGAGTTTCAATTAATAAATTTAGAAAGGAACTATGATAGAAAAACTGCTAATTTTAACCCAAAGGTGTTAATTATGAATCGTAAAAAACATATTATTATTTAAATGAAACCAGTCCATATTTTAATTAAAATCTGATCGATTGTGTAATATGGAAGTTGTGTATATCAAATTAATTTGCCCGGAACATTTTAAGTCATAATGCATTTTTTACTGAGTTTAAAATGAAGATTTTAAATTATGTTTTTGCCATATCAATGTATATTACAACGATGCAAATAAACAATGAAATTATGCTGGGAATAGGATTTTTATAAATGACAATTCATTAAAAAAAAAACATCTTAAAATCAATATTTTCAAAGTAAGCTTAACCCGTGTATTTAAGTACAAGATAATCTATACATATAATAAAATTGTAACTAAGCCAAATAAATCTGTACATTAGATATTTTTTGGTAAATATTATTGAAATAAACATTATTATCGATACAGAGGCCGAATCTATAGTATTAAGAATTTTTGGGCAGAGCCGCGGTCAATGCTAGTATTGAAATATTTTTAGTATGATAAACCTTATAAGTTCAAAGTTTTCGTAAAATACATTATAATAATTCTTAAGATGGCGAGACGTTGTCTGTTGATACAGACGGGTACGTCAACTTATCGATTTATTATACATATATTTTAAAAGTATAAGTTACGATGCAGTAAGAAGCTTTTCGTTCAGCGACCTGAGAATGTTAAAATAATCTCGATAACACATCAAAAGTAGGTGCTTTAATCATTTAGTAATTTGCTAAGCTTATATAAAGTTTGATTTATATTATACAGCAAGTCGTATTTTGCCGTCTCAATGTTTAAAATATATCCTCGTCTCCGCGGGGTGGAAATTACAGGTAGCCTATAATCGTTATACCGCAATCTATGTCTTGAAAAAAATGTATCGAAATCTGCTCAGCGTTTTACGCATGAAAATTGAAAATCTAACGGAAATACAATTTATTTATATATATTATAATATTAGTATGATTTTAGGTTAAATATTGCAGTAATGATAATAGATATAAGCTCATTTGTGGGATATATATTTTGTAATCTCGGACATACAATAATTTTGCTGTAACTAAATCCATAAATCATTAATAAGTATATAATACCTTTTTAAATAACTATCGTATGCTACTTGTGTCTAACAGGTATATATCGAGGTATTGAGGTAATGCAGAGACCTGTGAAGAAGAACTGAGGGACTACTTGCTCATCCTAAATCATTATGTCACTAAAGACCTATTTAAAAAGGCTTAAATAGATTTATTTTGTAGCAAGATTTTTAAACCTACCTATCTATATTGCTTGTATTTACATTAAAAAAGAAAAATAAATAAAAAATTTCTTATTGTATTATACTAGCACACCTCACTTCGCTCGGATTCGTCCCTAGGTTGCTTCCCCATACAAACTTTCAACCCCATTTTCACCCCCTTAAGGGATGATTTCTGGGATTAAAACTATTCTATGTCTTTCCCAGGGTCTTAAAACTATCTTCTTATCAAATTTAATTTAAATCTTTTCGGTAGTTTCGGAGCTTATTCGGTACAAACAAACAAACAAAAAATCTTACTTCTTTATAATATTAGTATAGATTAATCGTTATTGCCAATACATGATTAAACATGAAGTAACAGGCCAAATCATTTTTAGTAACATAACTTTAAACACTTTAATGTCCCTCTGACCGATTTTGGGTATGAAGTCCAAGCTCTTTGAGACTAGCCAACTGCGCACGAGATATTATAGTGCACTAACATAAGTGCACTCTCTATTTCTTTTACTCGCAAAGTCCAGTGTCATAAAATTTAACGTCAGTAAGAGATAAGGCGTAGGACCAAAGACTTCAAGTATTCTCCTTCAACCGTTCAATTATGAGGCTTCACTGAGAGTTTTTTTAACAGAACAACCCAATAACTATATTTAGCCTGACCCAGGGTTCGAACCCAGAACTTTTGGATCTGCGGCAATACATGCAAGCCATCAGACCACCGGGAAAGATAAACCAATTCATGATATTAGGGAATTTTTCCTATCTTCCTACGTAACGTTCAAAAAGATTATATATTTCTATAGCCCGTAACACCCACATAGAAATCATTAATCATGCTATAATTTCATAAATCATGAGAAAATAATTCATCTAGCTTTGTGTTGTTTGCTTTTCATCCACAATTGTATGATGTACAAAAATCATGGCGCCATACAACCTAAATAATTTGCTATCAGCTATTAAACTCGCAATTTAGATAGATTATAAAGATTTTTCTAGACTAACGATTATAAATATTTTTAGGTCAACGACATATATTTTATGTAAAATGTATTATGTACATATAAATTAAAAGTATACATTTATTTTCATTTATTTTGTTCAATAATAAAATTTTATCATATATAAGTAGTGAAGTGTTTTTTGTAACATTTTTTGAAGATAGACCATGAATGTAATGCACGATACCTAGGATTCGATTTTACATGGAAATGTTTGGAAATTTAAAAGTGCTCTTGAAAGTATGTTTGTTTTTATGGGTTCCTAAACCATTCAAGCTTAAGGCTGATCCGAGCGAAGCAAGAGTAAATCGCTAACAATAAAAGTACTCACTTCAGCTGCAGGTTTTCCACCTTCAGAAACACATTCTATATCTACAGGTTGATTTTCGATGGCATCTATGAAGGCACCTTGTAATATCCGCGGAGGGTCCGGGGCTACCAGCACTGTGAGTTGTGCGTACCTTGAACGAATTGGCGGTTCCCCTGAAACATATCTTATATTTGAACACGATACAAATTGAATAGCTTTCCAAGAAGATGATTTCGAGTTTAATTCCTATTTTATACTGCCAAATTACCCTTAGTGCACTCCTTTTTTTTAACGTTGAGAAATGCATAAGCATGAGTGCGTAAGCACGAGTGTGGGACTCATCGGCTAAGCCAGTACTACCCACTAAAACCCAACAAAACCTTCCTCCGTCTTAATGGGGCGTCGCAGGATCGCTTACGCATTCAAATACGATGCCCCGACGGCAGGTCTGCCGAAGCAGACCACATTAACTATGGAGTTGTTCCAACAGTCCACTCTGTTATCTGAGAAGTACCGGGAGCAACCCGCAAGACACCTACCGACGTGGGCCGCCTTCCAGTGCTTTTCTTGGAGACCGACTCGAGCGACCTAAGTAACTTACTGATACATAAATAAGCTACGCGAATGAAAATGTAAAGTCTTTTTAAGTTTAGTTAATTTTCATTGTTATGAGCCAGAAAATTCTAGCAAATGAATCGTTCTCAATAGCATAAAGTTCGAATATCTTAAAAACTTACAATGTAAGCAACTTTAACTTCTTTTTACGCGAAAGAAACTTATTAAAGATCGATTACAGAATATGAGAATATGGACATTTGTTCAATGCATAATCGTTTTTATACTTAATAAAAGTTAATTTATAACCGATTTTCTTACATATTTAAGTATTGTGAAGATTTTTATTATTTTCTTTATGGGTTATAATTGGTCATATGTTTTACTTTAGTTTTGCTTTCCTAAAATTATTGTTAACTGGCATTTTTGCTTTTAAAATAATATAAAATATAATAATAGCTTGGCAACGACTACCTCTGTGAAGTAGTGTATTCTATATTATGACAAAATCACACTATTAATATAAATACAAAAGTTTGTATGTGTATAATGAACCCAAACAAAGCATAGAAGTCGCTGATGTTTTTCTCGTATATTTAAAACCTCCAGGTAAATCTTTAAGAAAATCATTAAAATTCTAAGAAATCTATTGCTAACTAACACGCCGGCGTGTCCGCGGTCGTGGAGGGAATAAAAGTGTTGATATCCAGATTTTAGTAAAAGTAAAATTTTTAGTACAGATTATAATTAGAAATAGTGGCGTTTTGCATTCTATTATATTACGTATGCCACAAGAAGTATATAGCATGAAACTACGAATGAATGAATGTTGTTTGTAGAAAAATGTACATATTAAAAAATATATAACTCACCGTTAAGACCAGAGCTAACTTGACACTGGTACTTTCCGTCGTCTTCTAAAGTAACTTCTCTTATATCTAATGAATAATCGCCTGTAACAAAGAAAAAAATATTTAGGTTAAAGATATTTTTATTTTCTAAAATGAACAATGTTCATTTCCATTTGGAAATTTAAGTATTACAAGACCATAGTCCAGCATTTAAACAGTGGTGATTTTAAACAAAACCTGGATTCTTATATGACATTATGTAATATTTTAAGTTTTTTTGAACATATTTAAAATTTTTGACTCTTTTACATTATTTGGCAAAGAATTGTAAAGCTGTGCTCCTTCAAATGTAATAGTTTTTATTACATACTTGGTTCGAGTCTTGGGCAGTTCAATTTTGAGTGCGTTTTTGTTTGAAAAGTATAAATATTTAATAATTATTATCAATACATTTATACAATAATACGAAAACGCATAGATCAACTCTATCGCTTTAGTGCCATGGGATGTTGCAGGATCTCTCGTGCATATAATACAGCGTCACCAAAGGCTTCCTTACACTATAACTATAATGTGGTCAAATTTCAGAATAGCTTTTGGATTTTTAACGCCGATCACCAACGGATTTTTCCCACTGCTGGGCACGGGCCTCCCTGTACTATAAGGTGGGGATCAGGCTATAGTCCACCACGCTACCCAAGTGCGTGTTGGCGAACTTTAAATGTCTTTCGAAAACTTACTAGGTAGGTTCTCTCAGACATGTAGGTTTCCTCATGATGTTTTCCTTCATCTTAAGACAAATGGTAATCATGTTGGAAATGATTTGCACATGCAAATATCAGAGGTTTGAGAAAAGGGGTTTTGAACAGGTTTCACTCAGTTTCCTAAGCGAGCGCTTTACCACGGGACTACGACTGCCTCTCAAAGTTAGATAGTGGTGAAAAAAGGTATTTTATCTACAATAATATACTTTTTGAACTTATTTATATTAAGACTTCATTCAATTTTATTTTCGAATAAACATTCAATAAAGTAAAAGAAATATTAATCAACTGAAGCTACACAAAATCAATAAGAACTTATGTAATTAATTTATTGGGATACATGATCCTTTTGATAGGAAGCTTTTATAGGAATAAAAAGAAAATCAATCACTTAATTAGAATTAGCTTTTCAATTACTAATGTTTGGAATACAATAAATACGTATTTATTTATTTATTATATTATAGGTACTTTATTTGAGTTCGTTTCGCGTCCGCCCCCGCTTCGCTTCCGCCCTCACAAGAAAACCTTTTCTTCTACTTCCATCGTGGCTCAAGTATATAAACGCCTTAAAATAGGTTATTTGGATATTTGTTTTATAAATTATGAAATACTTTGAAATAATAACCTTGTAGGCTAATAATTTACTAAAAACTTTAAAAAAATAAATAAAAACCGACTTCCAGGCACTTAAATGTAAAAAATAACCAATACGGGGGTTTTCATTTAGAATAGATACCTAATCAGATATTTTCGAAGTCGGTGCCAGCCGATGCAAAGCAAATCTAATATAATTCGATAGGTATGTAAAATACATCACAAATTGATGTAGGTATAATATTTTAACTAAGTATAATTAGAGTTCATACCTAATCATATTTACCTATTAGATATTCATATCTTAAAATATTGTCGGCGGATGGACAGATTTTGATGAAATTGGGTATAGTGATAGCTGGTTATTCGGATCAGCAATACTTTTTACAGCGGAAAAATATCTTATCTCTGAGAAATCTGTACTAAAACGTAAGTTATTATATATGTATTTCTTTAGTCTATGAATTATTAAAATTAACAAATTTATTCATTGATATTCTATCATTAAAATTTAATAATTTTCAACACGTTATTGACACTTGAACTGTACTATAAAATACGAACAAGGAAGGTTAAAATATGACATTGTCATTTACATAACTCGTTTTAAAATATAATCGATTGGAAATGAGACAGATATCGATATTTATTCATAATAAATTAACTTGGCAAATATAATATAATAGCAAAAGTAACTTTCATTTTTCATCATAATTTAAATTTTAATATCTATCTACATAATATATCTTAATTTGGAAAAGAATTTATTCAAAATGATAAAACTTTCTATCGATTTTGGAATATTTAATGAAAAGTATAATATAATAGCTTTTTACTGAACTTTTTGATTTGTTAGTAAAATATTTGAAACTAAATACACTAATTTTCTTTTAAAATAATTTAATTAACAATTTAAAAATTACTGAATTTAAAAATACAGATAAATAAAATTGAAAAGTCTGTTTATTTTAAAATAACAGCTTTTTACTAAACGCATATGAAATTATATACGGTACTTATAAGAAAAACACATTTTTTATTATTTTTTTGTCTATAAGTCAGTTTGTACCGGCTAATATCCGAAACGGCAGGATCGATTTTGAAGGAACATTCACTAGCAGATAGCTGATTTATAACGAGAAATTTATTTTGGGCTACTTTTATTTTAGAAAAAAAAATTGGATTTTGGTCCAAAGTTTTAAAACGTAATTAAGGATGCATCCGAGCAAAGCGAGGATAAATCTCTAGTATTATATAAATATCAAAAAAATATATACTTCAGGTCATAGTATCTGTGTACCAAATTTTATCTTAATTTGTTAATCCATGACAGCGTAAAGGTGTAACAAACAAATATACATACATACGAGTACATACAAAACTTTACGTAATAGTAGGTTTTAAGTAAAATTGCTTTTTACAGGGAGCTCAAACGGCATCTTTAGATCTTAACAACAGATAAAAGGATAGTTATGAATGTTAGTAAGTCATAAAGTAAATTATTAAATTTATAAGGCGCTTATCTAGAACCGTAAATACACCTATCCACTCAACTGTTAATAACGACAAATTATATACAAAAACAACAAGAGCAAAGCTGTACGCTATAACTAGTTACATTGAATACGCGTAGTGTAGGAGCCGGACTTAAATGAGGTCTTACCTTTTAATTTCCAGCTTATTTTTTTTTAAGTAAAACTTCCTTAGGCGTGATTGAGGAGTAAGTTAATACATCAGAAAAAAATGAGTGTAGCGGAAGTGTGTCGCGGAAGTGAGAGTCAAATTTATTATTAATAATTTAAAAAAATATTACATTTATATTTTTATAATATTTATTTTGTATAAAATATATATTTATTATTGAAAGAATTTGTAATAGTTATTACTTATAAGATGAGATGAATATTTATTAGTATGGGATGAATGTACATGAATTAAATAAAAGCTATTTTGACAAATTGTTGTCATGGTAACCGTTGTTATTGTCTGACAAATTATATATAATATTATATTGTTTCCGTATATGATATTCTATAAATATATGATTGTAATATGCCTAATCGACTTATAAACTGCCTCGGTGGTGTAGTGGCTAGCATGTACGGCTGCACACTCGGAGGTCCTGGGTTCGAGTCCCGGGTCGGGCCAAGTTTAGTTATTGAGTCTTTCTGTATATTAAGCCTCAGTTACAGCCCGGAGTTGGGAAGTTGGAGGTGTTTCACCCCCGTGCCTCGGAGAGCACGTAAAGCCGTCGGTCCTGCGCCTTAACTCTCACCGGTCGTGTCGAGTGGTCGTCCCACCGGAGTATGAGAGTGACAGGAATAGAGAGTGCACTTGTGTCTGCGCGTACACTTGTGCACTATAATATCTCCTGCGCAGTTGGCTAGTTTCAATGAGATTGGCCGCCGTGGCCGGAATCGGTCAGGAGAACATCATCATCATCGACTTATTCAATTATTGATTGGTTTTAATTTAATTGCGATATTTGCCAAATAAGAACTACTTCCATCGCGCGTAAAGGTTACAAGCACCAATTTTTTTTATTCCCAGCTATTAAGTATGACCAGTTACAAAATTAGAGCTTTTTTTACAATTTACTAAAATAATAAGATGTATATATTTTGTGATAATTTCTTTAAAATTTTCATTTTAATACTTATCTCCATAGAACTGAAAAACTTTTTTCATTGTCGCCTCATTACCTTATGACACTCGCGTTATAAAGACGAATTTAACGACGTATAATTAACATAGAATCAGACATACATACATACATAAATATGTACATACAAACATATACATACACGTCAAACACACAACCCTTATTTGAGCTTAGCCTATCGCTATGATCATATACATAAACAGACAAATACAACAACAACAATATATAAAAATTATAGCAATATTTATAATAGGATTCAGTCATCGCGTCCCTAATGCAAACTTATTTCCATTGTATTTTCAATATCCAGGGCAGCTTTTACATATAATGTATATCGTTGAAAGACATCTCAAGACCTCAGCTAAAAGGATTTAAATGTTATAAGCGTAGATAACAATATGTAGGTAAAACATTATTTTATCGATGAAATGCTAAGAGTGATGTTTAATGTATTATTAACGATCGATGCTAATAGGATGGTTGGGTTTTATTTCAAGCCGGCGAAACTTTGTGACTTTACGTGTGGTTTTATATTTAACTACGTTTTAACATTTAGTATAGATTTCTCAAAGATAAGATATTTTTCCGTAGTAAAAAGTATCCTATATGTTGACTCGGCTAATCAGCTATCATCATACCAAATTTCACCAAAATTTTTTATCATCAAAGTTATTTCGTGATGCAGTCACAGACAGACTTAGAATACCTAGAGGCAAACCCGAGTAAAGCGAGCGTGAGCCGCTAGTATTATAATACTTTCTTAGATGCACGCCAATATTTGGCATTATAAATAAAACTACTCGGATCTTTTCTAGGATTTACTTTGATTTTTTGTTCCTCACGTTTCGAATGCTTTACAGGAGACGGGAGAAAGAAAGGTCTCTCCCGTGACCATGCTTGCTGTAAAGCATTCGAAACATCAAGAACTCCAGTGGTTTTTCCGTGATGCGGTAACAGATAGACAGACAGACAAAAATTCTGAAAACTATAGATTCGGCCTCTGTATCGATAATAATGTCTATTTCAATAAGATTTTCCAAAAAATATTTAATGTACAGATTCGGCTTAGTTCAATTTTA